ATATATATATATATATATATAAATTAAAATGTAAAATTTGAAAGGATAAAGATATAAATTCATTCTCAGTACAAATAATTCATAAATATATTAGATTTACAGTGCATAACCTATTTATTTTGCATTAACATTTAAATATTTAGACAAGATAAACAAATTTGATAGTGCTCTTTTTTTTAAATATGCCTATAACAAGACATTTATAATTACATTGAATACAATGAAACATGAGCATATGCATATGCAAATAGCGACAGTGACTGCTGTTTATTACGTTTGTTTATTACGTAATTTCTTGATCGAAAAAAAAGAAAACCTGCCAATTGTCCAAATCATATAACAATCGTATTAATTCCTTCTGTAATCTATAGCAGATATATTCCATAAAGAAAGATAATACGCAATAATACGTCGGCATATGACATTTAATGTGAAACGTCGCCAAATTTTCAGCTTTTTCAAGAACGAATCTGGTATGTCATACCTCGTGACAAGACCGCAAGAAATACGCCAAAGCTGTAATTTCGATAACACCGTTGCGTCTTCCACTACTGTAAATCAAATCGTGCGAAAGTTACGTGTTTACCTAATAAATACGACGATATTCACGAAATTGTCATTTCATCGTCGCGTATGTTTTGACGTACAATATGCACTGGTGTGCACTCGTGTGCACTGTAGATCTACAAGGCACAATCCGCAGCAAACTTGTCCATATGCGCAAACGCAGGTTCACCAATTGCGTGTTAAGGCCATGGCACAAATAAAAACGTAAGATCGTAACACGTAAGAAAATCATAAGATTGGATTCGCTACTGGCCTTACGGTCTCTACCGTGATTGGGCAATTCGCTTACTGATTACGTCCTCTTACGGCCTTACGGTTTTGTATGTATTATAGGCTTTACGCCGTGGATCGGCTGTGATTCTTCCTAGGGGACGGATCCTCGCCAACAGCTATTCATACTGTTCTTGGGCTACGTTTCAAAACATCTTTTTCGAGGAAAATTTTACTCAAAATGTATAGTACATGTAACGTATACTATAGTATATCGAATAAAATTCTCTTCGGAGTAATGTTTTGGAATGTAGCCCTAAGCTAAAATTGCGTCTGTGCTGGATTCACACTGGTTCTGACGTGCGTCGTACAACATTCTATAACCAATCAGAATGCAGAATTTTATTTTGTATCGATAGCCTAGTTTCCACCGAGGGTTGAAAGACAGGTATTCTCCTATCGTTCGATAACAGGGGAATACTCGACTGTAGTTGATTGGTTCTTACATTCTGATCCGGTTTAAACCCTCGGTGCAAACTAGGCTGATGATACGAAGCAAAATCCTGTTTTTTGATGCTTGCAGAACGTCATACGCACGTCAGATCCAGTATGAATCCAGCATGAGAGATCGTGAAAGGCTCCCGCATAAATAGGAACAAGGAACAGAGAATAAGAATTTCAATCTATCAAAAATCATGTATTGTGGAATACACAGTTATTTTTATTGTGTGGAGCCCCTGACTATTGTGGATTTATCATCGTTCCATGGTTGTTCGCCAATTCCCGACAAGTATATTAAGGCCGGTATTTATAGTCGATTCTTATTTCCAGACCGTCTTAAGTAATGTCTTAAGACGCTAATGCAGCCCTCTGATTGGTTCGTGATTTCTTAAAAGTAAAACGGTCTTGAATATAAGATCTGACTATGAATACCGATCTAAATCCGATCCGATCGGATCGTGGACACTCACGCGGTGCAGACCGTACATCTCTCGAACCGGTGTGGATACCCGAGGTGGAGACAGATGTTGTCAGATCAGGGGATTTGTCCCTAAATTTAGGAGAGTTTTAGTTGCGTTAAAGATCAAATAGGGGGAAAAATTATTTAGGGGATTTTTTAAAAATTTAGGATATTTTTTAGGAGACTTAAAAATTTTCAAGAAAGATGTTATTATAGTTTTTAATGTATGCACAAATATACACATGAAAAAAGATAGTATTTTTGATATTTATTAATTTTTTCATAAGGTATCTATATAAATAATATATAAGTTATCAATGACTATATATA